TTTTGTTGTATAGTCTTTCATAGTAGAGTGGTAGCTCATACCTTATATGTAGTTTCTTGATTGTCTGGTCATCCCCTAATATGTATGTTCATGCCGTCATATTTTATTGTTGGTTGTCCATGATCCAGGTCTACCATCTAAATTGATCTCGTCAGCCCTAAAAGATAATAATGAAGGTTAGATGAAATGTACGTTGGTGCTCGGCAAGTATGGTCGGGTGCTAGTCATGGCCCTCCAGTTTGGGTCGTGACATAAAATATCATTTTATTAATTTTCTAATATCTAGGATTTTGAAATCAACTAAAACTTTATTTATTATAATAGGAAATCCCAATATTTAGGTCATTTAAATCAACTCGAATTTTCTTTTATAATTCAAAATCCTAATACTTAGGAATCAAATATAAGAACTATAATTTATGTTAAAATACAATTTAGGAATTCAAATTTCAAAGTTAAAATATCTCACCACTAAGCGTTAGATTTGGGTTCAAGACATACTGGAGTACTTTTTAATCTGAAGTATTGATTCGTCCATTTACTTTTTTGTCCAGTACTATTAATTATTCTAAAAGTAAAGCTAGACGAGGAATTAGATTTAAAATAAGCCAATATACTACTAATATAAGGAAATTAATTTCTACTTCCTCCGTCTCAAATTATTTATCGTAATTTTTAAAAATAGATAATTAGAAGTTCAAGACAAAATTAATTAATTTTTGTTAGATCTAATTTTAATGATGCAAATAATATATATGTGCAGGAAATCAATTACAGAAGAACAACGAATCAAGAAGCTACTACAAGATTGCTGAAGTCAATTTGGATGCTTAAGGAAAGAAATCAATCGGCAAAGATTACGAATCAGTCAGCAAAGATTACAAACAGTTGCGATGGAAAGAATCAAGCAAGCCTAATCTTAAGGCATTAATCAAGGCCAGCACATTCAAATCTGGAAGATTGAAGCAGTCAAAAAGCATCGAAGATTCTGTGAGAAGAGTAGCTGAGCGGCTAATTTCGGAAGGACCAACAATCAAGGAGTAAACCCTCATCATTAACAACTGTAGAAGGAAAGCTGTTAATTTCCTTTCATCAAGGAAGAGCAACGGCAAACAATCTTATTCTTGGAAAGAATTAATCTCTTTCCAAGGATTAAATCTCTTGGGTTGTCAAGTCTCGTCAGCAAATGGTCTTTACCAAAGTATTTATACTCAGCATCAAGCCTTAGACAAATATACTTTGATCGAACCAAAAATCCTCTCTTTGTTCTACTGCATATAAATATTGTAGTTCTCTAAGATCTGCTATGTAACAAGTCTGAGAAAAAACGAGAGTATAACACTGGTGAGACATTGTATCAAAAGAGACGAGTGTTATTGGAACTGAACTATCACGTCATTTCTATTGTACTCAGAGAAACGCATTTACTAAAGAGAACTCCCTTGCAACCCAAGAGGACTCGGCTAGGATTCACATTGAATCCGAACCAGTATAAAATTTCGGTGTCTTTAATTCTTGCACTTACTTTCTGTGTTTTACATTCTGCTATTGTAACTGTAAGGTTATTGCATCTAGTCGACTAATTGACAAACCAGTCAACTAATAGAGATAAAGTTTAAAAATACTCAATTCACCCCCTCTTGTACTTTCAATTGGTATCAGAGAAAGGCTCACATTATATTTTTTGCTTAACAGCCTGTGAGAAAAGATCATGGCAAATCAAGTTATCATAGGAGCTCTCTTTCAGGAAGGAACTTCACAAGTTAGACCACCATACTTCAATGGACAACATTTTTCTTATTAAAAAGTACGTATGGAGATCTTTGCCAAGGCTTATGACATTAAAGTTTGGAGAGTCATCAAAAAAGAGAACTATCTCTTACCAGCTACTACTCCACCACTTGTTGATCCTAATGATATAGATTCATATACAAAAGAGCAAATGGAAATGGTACAAGTTAACAATAAAGCGAGATATCTGCTTCACAATGCTATAAGTGGTGAAGAATATGAGAAAATCTCTAGCTGTGACACAGCCAAAGAAATGTGGGACAAGCTTGAGGTTACATACGAATGAACCAACAAAGTAAAGGAAACACATATTAACATGTTGGTTCATGATTACGAACTCTTCTCAATGAAAGAAGGAGAATCTATTAAAGAGATATTTGCCAGGTTCAACAAAATAATTAGCGATCTAAAGGTATTTGGCAAGCCATATACTAGAGGTGATCAAGTTAGAAAAATTCTGAGAAGCCTGCCAACCACTTGGCAAACCAAAGTAGTCACACTGGAATCTCAGGATCTAAACAAATTATCATATGATGAACTACGAGGAGAACTCATAACCTTTGAAAAGACGCATCTCAAGAAGACTAGTCAAGAAGAAAAAAAGAAAATAGTTGCATTCAAGGCTTCAACTAAAATAGCTGAAAACGAAATTGATGATGATCCTGAAGCTCTACAAGAAGAGATTGCTATGCTATCGAGAAACATGGATGGCTTAATGAGAAGATTCAGAAATACAAAGAAAAGAAGAATTCCACCAAGACGATCCAGGCAATACAACAAACAAGACAAGAATGGTGGAAAATGCTATGAGTGTGGAAGATTTGGACACATTCAAGCCGAGTGCCTAGAAGTAAAAAGAAATATTTCTAGAGGCTTTAACAAGAACAAATCTTTTGGAAGCTAGAGTGATGAGGACAGTTCAGACCATGAAGAGATAGCAAATCTCTGCTTCATGATGATTCTGGAAAACGAAATGAACAAATCCTCAGGATGCTAGACAGACGAGGACACTTCAGATGACGAAAATGAAAACTGTTTCATGGTACGAGCTGAAACAAGTGAGGTAAGATTTTATGACTGTGAAAGATGCAATGAATCGCAGGATATTCTTGATTTAACTTTGAATGAATATCAAAAAATGATGAATAAGCTTAAGAGACTAAATAAAGATGTTAAAGACTGGAAACTCAAACATGAAGTATGTGAAATTGAAAAAGAAGTACTTCAAGAACAGTTTTAGGAATTGCAAATGCAACTTAATGGCATGCGCAAATCCACCAGTCACAGTTCTGTCAGGTCAAACCAGACGACTTACAGTTCAACCGAAAAAGGACCATCCAGAACAAAGTCCACTAGTACTAAAACTAATGAAAGACCTAAAGGTGGGTCAGAAGTAACGTGTCACTATTGTAACAAAAGTGGACACAAATATTCCTTTTGTCGCTTTCGTAATGCAAATGTTTCAGGATGGGTTTTGAAACCAAAAAACAATTCTGAATCTAGCAATATTAACCCTCCAGGACCCAAGCAAGCTTGGGTACCTAAAAGAAAGTAATCACTTTGTTTTGCAGGAACACCACAGAATAAGCCGCAAAGGAAAATGGTATCTAGACAATGCGTGTTCTAGTCATATGACAGGCGACAAAAACATGTTCAAAGAAGTTACAAAAATTGATGGAGGAAGCGTCAATTTTGGGGATGACTCGAAAGGTAAAATAATTGGTACTGGAACAATTCCATTCAATAACAACTGTGACATCACTGAAATTTATCTCGTCGATGGACTCAACTACAACCTCCTGAGCATAAGTCAATTATGCGACTCAGGATATGAGGTAAATTTTAAGAAAACAGGCTGTGCTATTGAAGACGAATCAGGTAAAACAGTCCTTCTTGGAAAAAGATATGAAAATGTTTATATCCTTGATGGTTTTGAAAAGATAGATGGTCATATTTGCTTAACATCTATGTCTGATGATCCATGGTTATGGCATAGGAAACTTGGTCATGCTAGCATGCATTTGATAGAAACATTGTCCAAACATGAGTTAGTTGTTGGCCTACCCAAAATGATTTTTTCTAGAACTCATATCTGTGATGCATGTCATATTGGTAAGCAGACCAGAAACTCTTTCAAAAATAAAGATATTGCATATACTTCTAAACCTTTGCAATTGCTTCATATGAATTTATTTGGGTCTACTAGAACTGCTAGTATAGGAGGAAAGAGGTATGCCTTTGTTATTGTTGATGATTATTCATGTTTCACTTAGGTAATTTTCTTATCTCATAAGAATGAAGCATTAAGAAATTTTGAAGTTTTCTGCAAAAAGGTTGAAAGAGAAAAGGGATATCTGATCTCAACAATTCAGAGTGATCATGGAGAAGAATTTGAAAGTAGAGCATTTGAAGATTTCTGTAATGGTGAGGGATACACTCATAATTTCTCTACACCACGATCACCACAACAGAATGGGGTTGTAGAAAGAAAAAACAAAACACTCAAGATATGGCAAGAACCATGTTACTAGATCATTCACTGCTAAATCATTTTTGGGCAGAAGCTGTAAGTACATCATGCCACATTCTCAACCAGTGTCTCATAAGGTTCATTCTGAAGAAGACTCCCTATGAATTATGGAAAAGTAAACGTCCCAATATCAGTTACTTTCATCCCTTCGTAAGTAAGTGTTTTATTCACAATAACGGTAAGGACAACCTTGGTAAATTTGATCCAAGAAGTAATGAAGGTATTTTTCTGGGCTACTCAATAAATAGTAGATCTTTTAGAGTCTATAATAAACGCACATTATGTGTAGAAGAATCTGTACATGTTATATTCGATGAAAATAATCCCTTGGTCGAGAAGGAATTACTGCTGGTGATGAAGATCAAGATCAAGAAATTCAAGAGACAAGTAAATCTAAAGAGTCAAATGATATATCTGCTACAATAGAGTCAACTAATGAAATCAGCAGCAGTGTATCGGATCATCCAATCGAGTTGACTACTAATGTAGTACGTCCAAATGAATGGAGAAGCGATCCTGAATATCCTCAAAAATTCATCATTGGGGATCCAAATGAAGGAATAAAAACCAGAGGAGCTCTCAAAAAGAAAGAAAACGTTGCATTAATCTCTCAGGTTGAACCAAAGAAGATAGAGGAAGCTCTAAAAGATTCAAGTTGGGTTCAAGCAATACAGGAAGAGTTAGATCAGTTCGGTAAAAATCAGGTGTGGAATCTGATACCCAAACCTGAAAATGTTTCTGTAATCGGAACAAAGTGGGTCTTCAAAAACAAATTGAACGAGGATGTAAATGTCGTAAGGAATAAAGCCAGACTAGTTGCTCAGAGATACTCACAACAGGAAGGAGTCGACTATGACGAAACCTTCGCTCCAGTAGCTCGCTTGGAATCCATACGAATTCTTCTGGCATACACATAATTTAAAGGATTTAGGTTGTTTTAGATGGATGTCAAAAGTGCCTTTTTGAACGGATTAATTAAGGAAGAAGTATACGTGAAACAACCGCCTGGGTTTGTAGATTCAAAGTTTCCCTACCATGTATACAAGCTCACTAAGGCTCTATATGGACTAAAGCAAGCCCCACGTGCTTGGTATGGTAGACTTAGTTCTTTTCTTGTTAATTATGGCTTCACAAGAGGTAAATTAGACACTACCTTGTTTATTAAAAGATCATCAGAAGGTAATCTCATTATTCAGATTTATGTTGATGATATTATATTAGGTAGTGCTAACCCTCTTATGTGCAAGGAATTTTCAAATCTTATGCAAAGTGAATTCGAAATGAGCATGACGGGAGAGCTAATATTCTTCCTTGGACTCCAAATTCAACAATCTGAAGAAGGAACCTTTATATGTCAGACCAAATACACAAAGGAACTGATTCAAAAATTTGGCATGAGTAATGCAAAATTCATTGGCACACCAATGAGTCCTTCAACAAATCTAGACAAAGATGACAGGGAATCCCTGTTGATGAAACTAAATATCGTAGAATGATTGGATCATTACTATATTTGACGGTAAGTCGACCGGATATTATGTTTAGTCTGTGTAAATATGTCAGGTTTCTGTTAGCTCCTAAGGAATCTCATCTAACTGGAGTGAAGAGAATCATCTGATGTCTCATTGGGAATGTAACTCATGGACTATGGTATCCTCGCTCTAAATCTTTTAAATTAGAAGGTTTTTCAGATGCTGATCTTGCAGGTGATAAGGAAGATAGAAAAAGCACAAGTGGTACATGTCAATTACTTGGAAAGGCATTTATATCCTGGAATAGTAAAAAACAAGCATCAGTTGCATTATCTACTACTGAAGCTGAATACATTGTCATTGGACAATGCTGCGCACAATTACTGTGGATGTCCCATCAACTAGGTGACTATGAACTTTCTTTTAAACCTATACAAATTTTTTGTGATAATTCAAGTGCTATTTGTTTTTCAAAAAATCATGTGCATTATTCTAGAGCAAAGCATATAGATATCAAACATCACTTTATTAGATATCGTGTTCTTAAGGGAGACATAAAAATATCTTTTGTTGGAACTACTAATCAGTTAGCAGATATTTTTACTAAGCCATTATTAGAGGATAGATTTTGTGCTTTAAGAAAATTACTTGGAATTACTTGCTTAACTAATAACCTATAGGACATATGTGTATTGCAGATACTTTTACAGGTGTAATAATTGTCCTTTACTCATGCATTAATTACACCTCCATTTTTCCCTCTCTTTTTTGTTCTTTCACATCAGTTTATCGTTCAAAGTTGGAAAGCCAATCATCGCATCCCTTCAATTGACGCCTTTTCCTTTTCTATACTCAACCGTCAGAAGTTTCTCTTCTTTAGTCGGAGAACCCCTTTCAGTCACTTTCATCTCTATTATCTAGAAAACCCTTCTCCAAAGCTCTGATCAAACCATTTTCCTTCAATGGCCAAACAACCCAGAAATCCCTCTGCTTCCACCAGAAAAAGTACCTGCTCCAAAGCAAAACCCCCGTCTATGCCCCCAAAACAAGTAGACCTAGGGTCCGACCACTTTGAGGGTTTCGCCACTTCACAGGGAGATTTCTCTGATCACTCTCAAAACTTAGGAGAAAAATCCCTAGGAAAATGACCCATGGAAGACTCCCCTGTTTCCTCTACCCCAAAAAAATCCAAGATTGATCTTTCTAGCTCTCTAGAATCTGACCTAAATTTGTGGGATTCTCCAAATAGGGATTTCTTCGTTGCTCTGAAGGATAAGCCTGTTGCTCATGGAAGGTTAGTCGACCTTGACGACATGGAAGCCCTAAATTGTAAGGTCAAAAATCTCTTTATTCATCAAGGGTGGGCTAAGTTCCTCTCTATTCCTCCGCCTAAGGTCTATGAGCCCCTAGTAAAGATGTTTTATGCTAATCTCCGTTCTAGTAAACCTGACAGGTTGGAATCCTTAGTGTTAAGTAAGCGTATTGTTCTTGATTGTGCCCTGTTTGATTCGCTCTTTCAGTGTCGATGTTCTGGTTTTCCTATGCTTTTCACAAACACCTGGCCCGATGATTTTGAAATTTCTTTTGACCAAGCCAAACAGTGTATTACTGAGTGTCCTTCTGATTCCCTTCCCAACCAATTAGGTCCCAATGATGTTAGTTTCGAAACTCGAGTTCTGGCCATATTGTAGCAACTACTCTGCTTCCCCACATTGGTTCCTTCTCAACCTTCTCTCAAAGAGACACTTTCTTAGTCTACTGCCTTGTGACCAAACACAAAATCAAGTTATCCTCCTGGGTCATTAATTTCATGATTGAATGTGTTGAAGATCCCACCAGTCTACCCTATGGCATGACCATCACTCACATTCTGGAAGCTCATCAAATTTTCCTGTCCAATTATCCCTTCATAACTGTTTCAAAGTCTTACAACTTTAGAGCCTTTGCAAGTATGGGATATGTGAGTGTGAAGGGCTCCTGGGTTAAGAAGCACGAAGGTGAAGCAAAGCATGCTCCTATAGAGCCCAAACCTAAACCCTCTGCCTCTCATCCCAGCCCTGGTGATCCTGACCTTGGTGAAAAGTTTCGTGCCATTGACACTCAACTCTCTGAAATCAAAAATCTCCTCACAGCCACTCAGTCTACTGTTGGTGACATTCATGCCATCTCCAAGGAAACAAGGTCTGATGTGTCAAAGATTATAGTCGTTGTTCTCAGAGTTAGGGAGAATGCTGTCAAAACTTTCAGGGAGATTTATGACAAGTTGGATGGAGTGAGCATCTCAGCCAATGCTAGCTTTGAACAATTTAAGGAGGCCATCTGCAACACTCTTACTTATTTTCTGCGTCGTTAATATGGTTGCTTAAGACAATTTTTCTTTTGCTGTGCTATTTTTAGGCTGTTATCTCAGCCATTGGATAATTTTTGTTTTTCTCTTGTTTTTTTGGACTATAACCCTGATGTTTAATGCTATATATCTATTTAGTTCTTGGTTTGTTCCCTCTTTGCTGATGCCAAAAAGGGGGAGAAGAGTATATGTTGTATCTGTACAGGTATAGTTGACTGTGTAGTAGGAGTCGACTACAACCATGGACTAGTCAGCTACATGAACTGAGGGGGAGTACCATGAACCTGCCAACTGCATACATAGAGGTGGAGTAAAACACAGGGAAGTCAACTGGTGTTTACACATATATATTATTTTGTCATCATCAAAAAGAGGGAGATTGTTAGATCTAATTTTAATGATGCAAATAATATATCTGTGCAGGAAATCAATTACAGAAGAACAAGGAATCAAGGAGCTACTACCAGATTGCTGAAGTCAATCTGGATGCTTAAGGAAAGAAATCAATCAGCAAAGATTACGGACAACTGCGATGGAAAGAATCAAGCAAGCCTAAACTTAAGACATTAATCAAGGCCAGCACATTCAAATCCGGAAGATTGAAGCAGTCAAAAAGCATCGAAGATTCTGTGAGAAGAGTAGTTGAGCGGCTAATTTCGGAAGGACCTACAATCAAGGAGTAAACCCTCATCATTAACAACTGTAGAAGGAAAGCTGTTAATTTCCTCTCATCAAGGAAGAGCAACGACAAGCAATCTTATTCTTGGAAAGAATCAATCTCTTTCCAAGGATCAAATCTCTTGGGTTGTCAAGTCTCGTCAGCAAACGGTCTTCACCAAAGTATTTATACTCAGCATCAAGCCTTAGACAAATATACTTTGATCAAACCAAAAATCCTCTCTTTGTTCTACTGCATACAAACATTGTAGTTCTCTAAGATCTGCTGTGTAACAAGTCAGAGAAAAAAGGAGAGTATAATACTGGTGATGCATTGTATCAAAAGAGACGAGTGTTATAGGAACTGAGCTATCACGTCATTTTTATTGCATTCGGAGAAACGCATTTACTAAAGAGAACTCCCTTGCAACCCAAGGGGACTGGACTAGGATTCACATTGAATCCGAACCAGTATAAAATTCCGGTGTTTTTAATTCCTGCACTTACTTTATGTATTTTACATTCTGCTATTATAACTGTTAGGTTATTGTATCTAGTTGACTAATTGACAAAGCAGTCAACTAATAGTGATAAAGTTTAAAAATGCACAATTCACCCTTCCTCTTGTACTTTCAATTTTTTTTCTCATTTTATCCTTAATAGTAATTGTTCTTCAAGATGGAGATGACACATAAATAAAGTAAATATTCAATGAAGAGAGATTATATAAAATACATAAATAAGGATAAAACAATCAAATTCCTTCTAACTATTTTTTAAGGGCATATCAAATAGAAATATGACAAATAATTTGAGATGGATGAATTTTTTGGGGTAAATAAGAATTTTATTACCAAGTAGCATTATTTACAACTCATCTAAACTATTATAAAGTTTTCCTAGTATATCACCTACTCCAACCAAACTATTACGTTCTTGAGATGGATGAAATTATTATTAGTAATCAAGAGCCTTTAAATAGATAGATGGTGAATTTGTTTATGTTATGAAACATTTCTTTTAACAACGAGAACGTAACTCCAACCAAACAAATAATTGGTCAATGACAGAAATCTCATCAATTGATAAATGATGACACGATTACAATTACAAATTTATTAGTTAGAAGTTACACTAATCTACAATGTCATTCGTCTTTTCTTCCTTTAAAATAAATTTTGCATTGGACAAATATGTAAGTTAAGTTACTTTCCCAATATTTAAGATTTTAAAATCAATTAATTTTTTTATTATTGCCTAATATTTAGGAGTTCGAGATAAACTAAATAAGGATAAATATATTAAGAAAAAAGAAGAGAATATAAAAAGTAAAAAGTAAATTTCTTTTCAATGAAGGACAAAAAATATTATATATTCGAGTAAATTTTTGTGCCTATATCGTACAAGAAATTTTTTTCGTGCAAGATCAATTTTGATCCTT